AGGTCTTGCTAGTTACGTGAATGATCATATCAAACGTAGCTTGCAAGTTTTACAGGCAGCAAATGATGAGTTTGTTTGCATGCTGCATTTTGGTATATCTCTGCATCTTAATATAATAAAGTTGGAAGCTCGTAATCAAGCTCAAGGGTTCAAGATTGCTTCATCATAGAGAGAAACCAGGAGGATTCTATCTGCATGCAGTGATGCTGCCCAGGAACCCCCAATCAAAAGTTTTGATTTATTGTATATTGATTCCGAACTGGAAGATGCTGTTCTAGCCTTGACATCAGATTGCCAGCTTCTCTTCACGGTGAGGTAGAGAAAGAGGATGTTAGTGAGTTTGCCGAATATTTGTCTATCACTCACAGAAAAGTAATTATTCAGTCTCACAATTTAGGGAAATCTGTAAATAAATGCCAATTTCCATAAAAAAATTGGAAGCATAAATTGAACCATGTTGAGATGACTGCTATAACTACTATAGATGAGAGGAAACTAATTCATGAACGAGCCTTGATGTTGGAAGGAAACATGGTTGGATTTGTAAATGTCTGCAGTGAAACAGAAGACAGTGAGTCATAATTTAAAGTTGGAAACAATAGAGAAACAATGCCGAACTATGAAGGCAAAAACATTGATTCATAATTTAAAGTTGCATTTTAACATTTCTAGTTCACATCACATGTGATAGAGTGTGGGACCAAAAGCTTCTAATCTGAGACAACGTATTTGTACTAGGGCTTTGATCATCCAAACGCAAATTTATCTAATTCTATTACATTGGTCATGCGCGGTGAAGTCACTTCACCGAGAAGGCAAAAGTTACACATTCTGAAGGTGTAGCAAGCTTACTGGTGGCTAACGATGATGAAAAACTGTAAGAGATGGTTTGCATTGGAAATGAATCTAGCAATAGCATAACAATTTCAGTCATAATGGTACCAAAATCTTTGGGAGATAATATTAGGAAATCTTTGGCTAATGGTGGCAACATGGACGTTCTATTTTATTCTCCAATTACGCCAATTCTGGACATTTCAACTGCCTATATGTGGTTAATGGATGTTGCAACTATTATTTGTGCTTCTCTTTGGTCCAACCTTGTTTCCTATGACCAGGTTGATGAGCGGTATAATCATCTCACATGGATCAGTATAGCTTTGTCAACATTTGAAGTGAATTTCTGAACTTGAGTAGGGTTCTTTTGTAGCGGAAAGATCTAATGCAGTTAATCATATTACTTATACTTTTATTATGCCATACTTACTATTATACAGTAATAATTACTTAATCACATTAAGCACTACTTAATTCCTTAGTTAACCATGTTTACTTTTATTATGTGGCTTGTATTAGATAGTGGGTATATATATTATCTACCGAGTAGTTTTAGTGAGACGGAGATTATTATTTTCAAAACTTAAAACTGAAACATACCGTTTCAATCTTTTCGGTCTCGACTTCTCTTAAAACTGAAACATACCGTTTCAATCTTTTCGGTTTCGACTCCTCCTTCACCTTCACCTTCACCTTCACCTTCATCGTCAAACTTTACATCATATTATGCATATGTTAAATGGGTTACGTTGGTCGGGTTTGGGTTAGTAAGCATATAGGCTAATTAAGCTTTAGATTAGACTTTCTAACTTATTTAATAGTTGGGTCGAGTTTAGGTCAAACAATTTTGAGTCAAAATTGAACCCAATTTGACACCTCTGCATATCTTTACACATGTCATGATCCAATCATTAGGAATTTGATAAAAATAAAAAAATATGAGTGTTTTATTGTAAATTTCAATATTTGAGTGATAATCTAAAAAAAAAAATGCAAGCAGGTGGTTTTGTAAATAGCAATGTTTTGGGGGCATTGTATGTAAATGCCCTAACTTCAAAATATTGAATTTTTTTTAAGTGACATGTTTCATCAAATTTCCAAAACTAAGCATATCATGTGGAAGCACTCCCCTAAGTTTTGTTACCATTTGAGGAAGTTGCTCATAGAGAACAAAATCACAAAGCCTAAACTAAAAATTATATTTGAAGAAGGAGATTTATTGTGACACACTCATCAAACTTCAAAAGACTTTTTATGTCATTGTCTAGCACAACTTATGAGTGTGTGCGCATCCTTTTACTTGCTTACTTGTTTATATAATGCTACATAAAAAATTCCAATCTATGGGCAGTCGAATCTGTCCCGATTTTGTAAAACCGCCCAGTTTGGCTAATTAACACCAATTAGTGATTAAAATATAATATTATAATCTTTAATTTTTTAAGAAAATCAAATATGATGACAAAAACTTATGATACAAATAGCCAACATGCACATTAAATGAGATAACTTTTAAGTTTGAGGCTCTTTCTTTTCTATTTAAGCTTTAGAATGCTAATTTTCCCCCTACTATGTGGGAGTGTGGAACTAAATAAACTTTATAAATAATTGTAGAATTGAGAATTGAGCTTATGTAGGTTGGGTTGGGTTGTTGGAACCAACACGCAAAAGCCAAACAATCTCTAAAACTTTATATATAATAGTAAAACAAATCTAAAACTCAAAATAAGTTATTATTATTTGAATATTTTTTTAAAATAGTGATATTATAGTATATATACATATATAATACTATAAAAATAACTGTAAATTTTAAATTTTACATAATTAAACTAACTGAAAATAACTGCTTTATTTATTAACAACTTTTATTTTGTAATTATTAAAAGGTTTAAACTAATCTTAATCCAATGTTAAATATTCTAATTTTCACATTAAAAGAAATCCTTCAAATTTTTGTTGTGTTTTAAATAAAATTATATTTAATGGATTGTTTAATATTATATTTCTATTTATTAAATAAATTTAATTATATATATTATATAATTTAATAAGAATAAATTATATTTGATGGCACAATGGCAAATAAAACTTATTGATATGTTATAATTTAAAATAAATATAGTTTCTATAAAAGTTTGCAAAATAATAATTCACCATCTAGTTCTCATACAGCATGAATTAGTATTAAATCTTAAGATTAATGATAAATTTTATTTAGTTTAGAATTCATGAACAAATCATAGGGACATGCTCTGGCTTTCATATGAACTTTTAGATTGTATTATTCATCACCCCATGCTTAACAAATTGTCTTTTAGTTTGTGAAGAAATTGCATATTAAAATTTTAAAGATCTATAAGGTAATTTGTTACCAACAATTCTTTATCTACTTGTAATAAATTTGTGTTAAGTAATTAAATGCTATATCTATTTCATATTTTCATGATGCTCTCTTACATGAAGATGCCCTCTTCGTCAAATTTAGTAACTTGTAATGATATTTTCTATGCTCTCGTCATTTTATATGATATTGTAAATAAACTCTATAAAAAAAAGATGTAGCAAAAAAGTAATTTTTAGGGATAATATTAATAGGCTACACATTAAGGAACTATAAAGTCATTCTTCCAATAAAGAAAATACAGAGAAATGTAGGGGGAAAAAAAAGATTAAAAAATACTATAAATGAAAAAAAAAAATAAAGAAGTAGTTAGTTCTTAGGAGGATTCATATTTCTCACCAGGCTACGGGATTCAATGGTTTAAAAATCAAATACTTTTGCAAATGATTTATATTTCATAAAATATTTCTTTTCAGTTATATATAAATGCATAATTATTATATCATTTTCATCATATTTAAATATTTTTTAGTATTTACAACATCATGTGCTTCATCACTGGTTCAACCTTCAAATCTTTAACCCTTTATTCTTCTGATTCGATGTCCAGTCCAGTTCTCACAAGCTTATTTATGTGTGATAAGTTTGATATAAGTCATCCTCTATCAATGCCTTACCTTTTCCCAACTATTTGACGTCATCTCGAAGAATCTACATTTTCCACTTGTCGCAAATGATTGCTAAATTTTTTTGGCTAAACATATTCTGCCAAAATTTCTTTGCCCCACCTCAATCCCAATTAAATTTGGTCCGTACTTTACAATTCATAATCATCAACCATACTTAGAAAAAATAAAATGAAAGAAACTATTTTTGCAAATAGATCAGTACACACAAAAATCATAGCATCAGAAAACTCAAGTTACTCTTACCTCTAATTAAAGAATATTTTTTCTAATCTATTGTACTTGTTTTCAAGTGAAGCTCTAACAGAATGTTGCATGATAAGGTTAGCATTGAAGCATACATCACGTTTCAGCATTTAGTGGGTACTGTAAGTTTTTATGTGTTGTATATAAACCACTCACCTATCCACCTCATCACGCTCCACATCTTGGCTGGAGCAAAAATTGAAATCAAACAATTTAAGTAATTCATTGGGCTTCCAGAAGATTAGTCTCAACTAGTGTCTGAACTAAAATTTAAGAAGAGGGGTGACAATAAAAAGCAAAAAATTGAAGGTTTAAGTTTAAATTTTTTCTCCTAAAATTTATTAAAATTATTATAAATATGATTGTTAAACTTAAATATACACAATATTAAACTATTATTAAGTATATAAATTTATGGAAGGGAAAATTTCTAGTGTATTATATAATATTAAATAGTTCGGTAAAAATCTAAGGATTGTGAGTAGCGCCCCAATTCAAAACTATATTATACATAATGTCATTATTCTCATTTAATTTTTAGTAAGTTTCCTTGTACATAGAGCATATTCTTGAATTAAACACTAGAGACTGTACAGAAGGTGCAATAAACCTTGCTAGTGAGATTCAACCAGCCTCCACAAAGAAAAAAAAATAAAAATAAAAATAATATAGAAATCCAAACCTTCTCTATCATTGTGAAGCAATTGCTGACGGACTAATTTCCAATAACATGCAAGTACCCTCAAATATCTTCACAAATGTTTTCTTAACTAATAAACATGAAAAATGATCTCATAAACATTAACATTTCTTTAGCAAACCTATCAAAATAAATGCATAAGAGAATTTAGGCAAAATCCCATTAGATGTTTAGAATCCCAACATACCTGCTTACGCAATCTCGACCTTCTAGCAGACTCCCTATTGGATTGCTTCCTTCTCTCCCTCTTCAATTCACGATCATCCTGCTATGAGCAATACATAACTAACATGTAAAAAAAAGAATAATAAACAGCTCATGATAGAGCATAAATGTATGAATAGGACCATCGATGCCCAGAAGCACCAGAGCCCATTGATTGTCAACCATCAAAACATTAGCTCCAGCTGCTGCTGTTGCAATAACAGCATTAGGCCTAACCTTCAAAGGGGCGGCACCAGCATGAGGTGGATTCCATATATCCATCCCAATATTCAAGTTAGTTGTAGGGCCAGGCAAGGTTGTTCTCCCAGGAGCAGAAACTGGAAGTTTTGGAGCTCGCTTCCTCGGGGTAGCAATAGCAGGATTTGAAGCTTCTCCTGAATGAATATTGAACATAAATATTTATGAATGATGTGTATCTAAATGCAAAATGCATGCAAAATTAGCAGAAAACTCACCCTCATGAAAAGCATCTCCAATAGATCTCTTTTTAGAATTTTCCTGAATACAACATATGTAAAGAAAGGAGATACATAAAGTTGCTCCATAATAATGTAAGCTAATGCCATACATAGTCCATCTAAGCTAGCAAGACTAATGAAAAGTTATGTCAACCCTGAGTTTTCTCATAAGAGCTCCAATTAATCATAAGGAAATGGCGGATAGAAATGCAGGAATTTATTCAGAATTAAAAAAAGATCAAGTCTTTTTGGTCTAGTTAGTGCAAATACTTAAGCCAAATGAAAATAATGCAACGATGCAGATCAACGCTTGTTCATTTTAACGCAAAACAAAAAACTAAAAGGAAGATTTATGTACATACCACTCAATTTTTATGTATTAACATATCTAACACCTAAGCTTTCCCGAGGTATACTTCCCTTGGTAGAAGTTAAAAAGGTGATTTTTCTCATGTGAGATAAAAATTTGGGTGCTTTAAATATATAAAGCAAAGTTTAGGTGTTAGGTATGTAAATTCATAGGGATTGAGTGGTATGTATGTAACTGCCGCCAAAAAACAAAAAACAAAAAACAAAAAATACCTGCTGCCCAGCGCTCTCATTCCCAGAATCAGAAGAGCCCTCCGATGCACTGCCTCCGCTGCTCCTATTCCAAACAAAACCAGCCCAAAAATAAGCAACAAAATCTAAACCCCAAGCCAAAATCAAAGAAACAAAGTCCTATAAAAAACAAGGTACCCGAATTATTCATACCTCTGCGAATTTTCCTCCTCCCCTGACCCAGATGCCGTCTTTCCTCCTTCCCCGAACTTCAACAAAGCTCCCTTGGACTTAATGTTCCCCATCTCTACATTTGGGTAGCCCATGCCCTGCACAAATAAGCAGACATATATCACACCAAGCTACTCTCAAAAGCTACCAATGCACCATCTATCAACCATAACTACCGGAGTCATGGAAGGATGAGCATAGACAGCACCAGGAGCGTACATCGGCGAGTAGGCAATAGGCGTAGCGTAAGGAGACATAAGATGCTGCAAATGAAACGGGGAAAATTTCAGCTATCACTTAGTCCGAAGAACAGTATCGATTAACAAAAGACGATCGAGATCCGGCAACCTGGCCTCCCCAAACGGGCGGGAAAAAGGCCGTAGGAGCGGCTGCGCCTCCGCTATAAAACGCTTGCACCGAAGCAGCCCAGTCGGCGTTGTACGCCGGCGGAGGAGTTGCGGTGGTGGAAAAGGGCGTCGAATTGGGGGATTTCGCCGGCGTCGACGTCTCCTCCGGCGATCCCATCGTCGATGGCTTCGGTTTTTACTTCAGGTACGTGGTGCTGTGGTGCGGGGAAATCGAAATCGTGTCGCTAGGGTTTCGGTATGCCACGATAGAAGCCTTGTGTCGATATGCCACGATCGAAGGCCTGATTACTGTGATTGCAGTATTGCACCTCCCAATATATAAATATTATTATTACTACATTGCTAAGTGTGGGCCCGTTAGTTTTTAGTTAATCTGTTTCAGCTTATTAATAACAAGTTGAACCCTAAACCCTAATTAAATCTGCTTTCAAAAAGCTATTATAATTTTTTTTTAGAAAATTTAGACCGTAAATATACAGTCGTATGTCATAGACAAAAAGTCTCACATCAG